TTTAGGGTTTAGGATCTTAAACCCTAAACCCTAAACCCTAAACCCTAAACCATGAAGATTCCTAAACCTAGTTCCCAAGGCTGGTATACCGAGCCGGAGAGCGCCACCGGCTTCCATCTTTGGCCCTTGAACGACGACAGCTTCTGGGACCAAAAGGGTTTAGGGTTTTAGGCTTCTGGGACCAAAAGGGTTTAGGGTTTAGGCTTCTGGGACCAAAAGGGTTTAGGGTTTAGGCTTCTGGGGACCAAAAGGGTGTAGGGTTTTAGGGTTCTGGGACCAAAAGGGTTTGGGGTTTAGGCTTCTGGGACCAAAAAGGTTTAGGGTTTTAGGGTTTAGGGTTTAGGCTTCTGGGACCAAAAAGAGGTAGCGACGGGTTTTTGGGGGTTTCAGGGTTCTTTAACTCGAGGATTCGATAAAACAAGAGGTGGTAAATGGGGGTTTCCGAAAATGGGGGACGCCAATATGGTAGCCAAACTAGTAGGATCTTTACCATAAGGACCCCAAAACAAGGTACCTCAAATTTCTGGAAACCCCCCCAAATTTAGGACCAAGTGATGAATCATTTGCAAGGGCATTTCGAGTTTAGAGTTCAGGGTTTAGGGCCGCTTAGGAACCCAAAGATTCAGTGACGGGTTTTTGGAGTTTAGGGCTTCTGGAGCTTGGGTTTAGGGTTTAGGGTTTAGGGTTTAGGGTTTAGGGTCTAGGGTCTAGGGTTTAGGGTTTAGGGTTTAGGGTTTAGGGTGGTGGTTCAGATGTTTTGGGGATGTTGCGCTTTCTGGGACCGAAGAGGAAGCGACCGGTTTGGGCATGTAGGGCTTTTGGAGTTCAGGGTTTTAGGGCCCTCTATGGTTTTCGGGCGGTTTAGGGGTTTAGTGTTGTCGGGACTTTTGAGTTTTGGGATGAAGCGCACGGATGTAGCTGAGAGCAGAGTAGACGACCTACAGAAATTTCGCCCCTCTTATAAAAATCGTCGAATATAAAATTTCCTACGGGCTTAGAGTGTAGGGAGACTGTAGAGTCGGGTAAACTACAAGGCCAAGCGTGAGAGGCGGCGGGGCTTCAAACACCAAGGTGCAACAGCAAGGTCTGCAGAACCTTAATCCCCAAACCCGAAACCCTAAGGTAAAAGCCAGAAAGTTGGAATATGATTATCCTAACCCTTCTATGGTAAATTATAGGGTATCCTACCATGAAACCATATTCCAACTTTCTGGAGTTCCCTGTAAACCCTAACTCGAACCGATCGCATGAATTCGGTAACAGCTATGCTAAAACCTTGTACTAAACCTGTATACCTAACCCTTGTAGTAGCACCTTGTAGGAACCCATAAAGGGCAGATCACCGACTCCCATGCCCTGCACCACCGAGGCTTGAAGAAAGCCCTTGCCTCAGTCCGGTTCTGCAAAAGCACATCTGGGGGACCCTTGCGCTTTCGAGGGACCCATACTGTGGATGGACAATATCCTGCATTACCAATAATAAGGAAAATACCATAATTCCCATAGTTTAGGGTCCTTAAGGTCATGCAGGATTTTGTCCATCAACAGTAGTACCATTCAAGGTATATGTGTCAGTTGAAGAAGGATGTACGCTATATCGGGGTCTGAGTGAGTTGATACAGGACTTGTATTGCGGATGCTCCAATAGGTCAGAGCACGAAACCGCGAGCCTTAAGTCCTGGGGTTTTTGGGTTTAGGGCGTTTCGGGGTAGAGTTACTGGTTGGAAACGGGTCATTCCTTGCGAGATATGAGGCTTTGACGACGTCTGGTCAAGATTTCGCATGCTCGGTATCATCATTGCAGGGGAAAAAGTTGTCTTCGTCCGAAAACTAACTAGTTAGAGCCACAGCTACCTAGCCCCACTTTTCACCACGCATGAGCATGCAAGTCAGGCCGATAAAGTCTGATGATGCTCTATGAAGACACAAAACCCTATTGAGATCCTACTCTACGAGGATGGTATGGGGTGATCGCCTGAACCCACGAGCACGGTTTGGGGTGGTGTAGGGCTTTAGGGGTTCAGGGTTACAGGTTTAGGATTTCGGGTTTAGGGTTTGGTGTTTCGGGTGTAGAGTTTCGGGTTTAGGGTTAAGGGTGTCAGGCGTGTGGTCAGATATGAGAAGTGGCAGTTGTTTATGGCAGTGCACGCGAGGCCACCCGCTCTATGCTACTTGGCAGTATTCTGTGTCAAGCTTTAGACCCTTGCGGGCCAGACCAGGAGGACTTCTGAGCCTTGCACCCGAAGCATTGCGGAGTCCCAGGCCCCAACTGTGGTAAAATCTGGCCTTGTGCCCCTGCACACGAAGCCCTGCACCCTCAAACATAACCCAAGAAAGCGCTACAACGAATCTTGTGTAAAGACTCTACGCAACCCTGATTTTATGTTGTTTCTTAAGCCATTGACTTTAAGGGATATACATACCCCCCCAGACTCGACCCAACACTTCCAAACCTTCTACTTGCCTGTTCTGTCCGCAAACCTGCAGCTGTCGTCCGCAGGTGGTTTTTGATGCTCTCCAGCTCTTCTTCAGACAGCCCGAGGACAGCTTCCAAGATACGTGGTTTCGGGTTGTTGTCCGTCTGAGTTGGCTGGTCAATTCTATCGCCTGGCCCTGTCTGTCAGACAGGGATTTGTGATAGACTCACACCGCCTTGAGTGTTTCGATGGCTTGTTTGGATCCTCCACACTACTTGAGAAGCTTGCATACAAGGGTTGCAGGGGTGTGTGTGTGTGTGTGTATGTGTATGTACATACACATATAGTAGAATCATACATATGTGCAAATACAGATGTACACATGTACATATACATACGTACTCATGCGTATACATGCACACATACGAGATGTGGGGTGTGCCATCGGCAACAGAGCTTGACGTGTTCAGCTCGCCTTGATTACACCGCACCTGCGAGCTAACGCACCTGCGCAATGTCAAACCTTTAGCCTCTAACCCCAAACCCCGAACCATAAGCCTCGGCCGCACCAGTAGCACCTTTGCACACTTAACCCCAACTACCTCGAACCCAGGCGGTCGCTGAGTGAAGTCCAACATTCATGGGTAATTCGCGGGGCAAAAGGTTTGCAGGGACCAGGATTAGAGTTGGAGGCAGCTGTAGCTACCCAGGGGCCCCAAAGTAGTTCCTTTTTAGGTAGTATATTAAAGTCCCTAACCCAAAAAGAGGACACACCCAAAAAGGAACTACTTTGGGCCCGCTGGGTAACTTGCTAACAGGTCTACTCGCGACCATCGCTTGGTCTCATCTAACCTGGGAGTTAGGATTAGGGGGACCCTCGGGGATATAGACCCTCTCAATAAGGTGCCTTTTAAGAGAGGCAGAAGTAGGGTTCGCAAGGGGTACTCTTTAAGGGGGTCTCCCTCATCATGCTACCCATAACCCAATCGAAACCCTAACACCCTGAGCCCCAAGATGGTCTTTTATACCCGAAAGACTTTGCTCTAAAACCCTACTTGGAGGATGATGGGACTTAGTAAGTAAGGTTATAAACAAGGTAACTATACTTATATAATTACTTATAACCCCAACTAAGGTAGCTATAACCACCCTTTCTAAGTCCCAGGATCATCCAAGTAAGCCCCAACATGGAAGCCATGGTGCACAAGTATTTCAGACGAGGAATTCGAAACTATGCGAAGCCGCGCTATGCAGCAGGAGCCAAGGGGGGCTGAGGTTGTTCCATGTTTCGTGGCGCCCTAAACCCTAAACCCCAAAGGTTGACAAGACTTTGCAGCAGTTGCCGGGGTCTACGACCTGAATGCATTGTAGCATGTTTATATGGTCCAGTGCCTATTAGGAGCCGACAGCGCAGGGGTAGGGTGGTTAGGATGTGTTGTGATTGGAGGGCTAATATAGGGGCCTCAATAATTATGGGAGGTTCCTTCTTATAACTATAATATAATGGGCCCCAACACCCTATTCTCATTATTAAGGCCCCTATATTACGGGTCGAGGCACAGCTTTTCTTCCAACTGCCAATGGTCAAAATAGAAGCAGAGGGTGCCGCACTAGGCTTTCTTTGGTGAGAGTTTCAGGGCGTCGCGCATCATCACCAAAAGAACAGCATCGTGATCAAGAACGCGTAAGGTGGTGAAAATATGAGAGCAGCACGGCAGGGACTATTGGCAGTTAAGCTCTCTCCTGTCTCATTGAAATCCGTGCCACTGGCTACGGTAAATCCCAAGACACTACTACACAATAGAAGCAATTTATCCCATGGTTGCAAGCAGAGGATAGTTATCAACCGGAGGACAGTCATCATCAGCGCAGTTGACGGCAGAGTAAGAACAAAGGGAGCGATCAGTCTAGCGATGACGACCGTGCCTGCCATGTTGCGGTCATCGCCGTGGTTGCAGTAGTAGTAAGTACACAGTTCGATCATGACTGGAATCATAACAGAATCATCGTGACGGGATCACGCCATGCGCAATGCGCTTTGTGCTTAAAGCACCTGGCTTGCAAGGCAGTGGCTTAGGCTTCTACGAAGCAGATACTAGCACTTGGCCTTAGCAGCCCGGAAGCTCTAGTGCAGAAAACCCGAAACCCCCCAGCCCAAACCCCACACCTTAAACCCTATAAGACCCCAAACTCTAGCGACCTTAAGCCCTGAAACTCTTCGGCTAGAGGACTCTGCGCAGCGCAGATATGGCCCAAATCCAACGAAGTCCCAAACGATGAACCTCAGAGCCATAAACCCGTAACCCAAACTTGAGTCCTACATCATGAGGCCCTAAACCCTAAACCCTAAACCCTAAACCCAACCCTAAACCCAAAAAGTCCTGAACCCTAAGTCCTACATCCTCAGCCAGAAGCCCGGCACGTCCAGCCATGCCCTAAACACCAAAACCCTACACCCTAAAAACCCTAAAACCCTGAAGCACTAAACCCTAAACCCTTGTAGATCCCTTCAATTCATGGATCCCATAAAGATACCCTAAAGCCCTAAATCCTTAAAGGAACCCTTAAAGGAACCCCGCAAACATGTCCAGCCATGGAATCTGCACTCGGCGCTCTTCGCCGCTGGCTGATCTTAGGCAGAGCCCTTCTCGGCGAGAGAGCCAAGGCTCGGCTGAGACATTCAGCAACTACAGGGCCTTAGGGTAGGGTTTAGGGTTTAGGGTTTAGGGTCTATGCCTAACCCCTCAATCTAAAGTCTACCTGGACAATGAAGAACCTACCTTTTTAGGGTTCCTTATTATGATTTCCTTATATAAGTCCTTAGAAAGGTAGGTTCTTCAGGGTTAAGGTACAGCAAAAGCCCAGCAACTACAGCTCCATAGCAGTTCCTTTTTGGGATTACCTTATAGGATTCGAAATAGGAACCCCAAAAAGGATCTACTATGGGGCCTTAGGGTAGGGTCTAGCGGTTAGGGTGTTGGGTTTAGGGTTTAGGGTCTAGGGTCCAGCAACTACAGCAAAAGCCCAAAAGTTGGAAACCCCATAGCCTCAATCCTTAAGAGTAATGTACAAGGAATCCCAGCACTGTTTGGCCTTGATCCGGTTTCCAACGTTCTGTGGCTTATTGTAGGTTCCCAGACCCCCGGGAGGATCCAACAAGTAGATCCCTTCATGGGGGTTCCTGTAAAGTACCCTTAATAGTGTAGGGCCCCAAATTAGGGGATCTGTTTTCTAGATCCTCCCGGGAATCTAGCTTCCTGAGTAGTGCCCTGACTGGGTAGGCTTTTGGGTTATTTCAGTATTTTCCTTATTGGGTTTACAAGTGTTCTATAATACAGGGGCCTTAATAATAATTTCCTAGACCATATCGGGGGTCCCTAGTGTAAGTATAGTATATACTGGGCCCCAAAACCTAATTCAGTTCTAATTATAAGGATAGGGACATCGCATATAAACCCTCGATACTCAAGCCCAATAAGGTAGGTATATCCCTACAAAATGCTTATGCTTATGTCCTTTTGTGGGTCTCTACATTAAGCAGCTAGGTTTCTGAGTAGTGCCCATCGGGGATTCCTTGAAGGGCTCCTTAAAGGGCTCTCTAAGGAATCTATAAGGTTTAGGGTCTCCACAGGTAACAGATAAGGTATTTCGTTGGGAGCATCAAAAGCCTACTACTGTTTCAAGGGTTCTAGCCTCTAATGCAGGGATCATAAGAGCAAAGAGCTAAATACTTCACATCACGGAGTAGTCTTCTGGGCGACTTTGGATGCCATGTGGCATGAGAACGAGTGCCATGCCATAGTGTGGAGAACGATAATGTTAGTTATGTATGTGTAATGTCCTCATGAATATGTAAAACGATATGGTGAAGGCGCAAAAACGATAAGGCGATTTGGTGAGCATACTCAGGCCTGATCCAGACAGGTAGCCGACAGATAGCCCAAAACGAGGTCATGAGACCCTGCTTCGGAACGATATCAAAACGATATCACCGCGATAACCGAAAGATCAATAAGAGTGTGACTTTTGAACCCATCCCCACTCTTTATCGGAGCCCTCTTTACCAATAAGCCGAAGCTCCGTGCAAAGTCACAAGGTCCTTTCGCACGCTATTTTGCATTTGTGAGGGTTCATTCAGGGCTTTGAGCATACAGATTTGAGGATGTTCGTCGGACTTTGGGCTTGAGCTTGGGGTGTTTAAGGAATCGTTCCCGACGTGCTTCGACATGCTTGCTACTTGCAGTATGATACATATGCCGCTGATGTTGCGTTTGATATGTAAAACGATATGGTGAAGGTCCAAAAACGATAACATCAAGACAAAGACCGCTTCTGCGTGAACGAATATTGCCCATAATTCGGGTCCCGTTTAGTGTTGCTTGGTGGTTCAGGGGTTTAGGATGTAAGGTTTAAGGTTTCGAGGTTTATGGTTTAGGCCATTGGGGTTTAGGGCTTACGATGTAGGCGATTAGGGTTTAGGGTTTAGGCTATCAGGGTAAGGTTCAGGGTTTAGGTGACCAGCCTGATGCACAGTAATACTTCTCCTGCCGTGTAGTTAGTGTTTGAAGTTCTGAAAACCCTAAACTCACCCAAACCCAAACAACGACCCTGTCAAACCCGCAAGAGCCACTGAACCCCATGAGAAGAACCACAAGTGAAACCCCTAAAACCCTAAGCCCAGGCCCAGCAGACCCTAAACCCAGAACCTTTATCCCCAAGCCCTGTGGACCCAAACCCTTATAGATTCCCTTAAACCCTTAAATAACCCCTTGTAGATCCCTTATAGGATGCCTTAAATAAAGCCCTTCTAGATCCCTTATAGGATCCCTCAAATAAACCCTTATTGCATCCCTTTAAGCGAACCTTAGACCAGCAAACTGCAGTCTCGTGAGGCGGAACGGAGCCACCTGCAACTGCTGCTCTTGAGCTAAAACAAAGAAGGGTTTCGGGTTTACGGGTTTAGGGTTTTCGGGTTTCCGTTTAGGGGTTCGGTTTTCCCAACAGCACGTTGTTGAGGGCTTTCTGAGAGCCGACTACTGTGTGCAGGTTGCTTTGTGCAAGAGTTTGATAGCGGTTGAAACATGTTTTTCAGGGGTGCTGGAGGGTTTAACGGTTTAGGGTTTAGGAGGGTTTAGACTACTTTCAAGACTTCTTGGTTTCAGGGGTTTGCGCACTGCTATAGTAAGGAAATAGATACGACCCATGCAGTACGGCAAGCTGTTCACGGCGCTTCGGGTTTGGAGCTGGCTAGGGAACTACAGGGCGCCACGTAGTATAAGGGTCTTAATACTGATTGCTTATGCTATTCTGGGCGTTCCTGATTGTAAATTTAGTGTACTATCCCCCAAAGCCCTATTCTAATCATTACGGCCCCTACACAAGGAAAAGATCTGTGGGGATCCTCCACTGTTTGCCTGTTCGGCAGCATTGTCGAAATCGAGGGCTTTACTACCCCAGATCCGAAAAAAGCAAACCCGACATCGTAACCCTACACTTTAAGGCTCTTGGAGACTTTGTTACTTTGTTCCTTTTTTGGTTCAGGTCTTCTTTTATAGGGGTCTCCGAAAAAGTAGTTTTTTGCTTACCTTCCAAGGGGAGTAGAGTACACCCTAACACCCCGCGAAGGACAGAGAGAAACCTCAGTAGGCGACCTGTTCATCTTCTTGGGCACTTATGCCCATACCCAGACCCCCGGGAGGATCCAAAAAGTAGATCCCTTAATTGGGGTTCTAGAGGGCCCCAAATTGGGGGATCTACTTTCTAGATCCTCCCGGGGGTCTGGGTAACCCTACTTTTATTGGGGTCGGTTTATTGGGGCCAGGGAACACAGCAACTCGGAAAGCCTACCTTCTGGAGCCCTGAGCCCTAAACAATTATCCCTAAAGCCTGGTTAAGCCTAAACCTTAAACCCTGAACCCTCAACCCTAAACCCCGAACCCTAAACCCTAAATCCTAAACCCCTTAACCCCTAAACGCCCTCAGGCCAAGCCCCAAGGTCTTCAAAGACACAAAGGCCTGAAACCCCACACTCTTTCGCTAAAACCCCTAAACCCACGATCCGAGCCCCAAGCCCTAAACCCCAAACCCCAAGCCCTAATTGAAAGAATTTGCTACGAAAGCCCTAAACCCCAAACCCTAACTACACCCCATCTAATCCCGAAGCCCTAAACCCCAAGGTTCGCTTCAATGCCAGCCGCCCGAAAACTTCGGATTGGAAGCGGGCTCTGCAGCTCCCCTCCGACATACAGGCGGCGCAGATGGAAGCGAACGTTGCCGCTCGTCGGATAAGGGTTGAGGGTTTAGGGCCTTCCAAAACCCCTTAAATAAGGAATATACCTTGAATTATAGTAGGATGCTTCATATGATTTAAGGTATATTCCTTAATTAAGGGATTTTGGAAGGTCTGGGAGGGTTTAGGGCCTTCCCATCGACGTGTGCGTTTAGGGTTTCGGGTGGGCTAGGTTTATAAAAATTTGCTGGGCCTTCGAGTACCATGCTTTAATACATTTTTCTTAAAGGAACCAGGAGGTGCTGTAGGCCAGGGTTCTTCCCGGCACGTCTGTGAATTCCAGTCTAGAGTGAGCTATGCTGGACAAGCGCTGCATGAAAACCCACCGCCAAAGCCTTCAAGCTGTTTCAGCCATTGTTGCATGTGCAAATTGATAAGTAGGGCAGATTTCACAGCATTATGATATCATACAACAGCAATGATGATGTATGCTGTGCTCTTGTCATAGATTGACAGTGGTTTCTATGATTTTTTCAATTTGGTAGACCGACAGGACTGTTTGATGTGGAACTCATGAGAGCGTCGTTTCATGGCTAATCCTGCTCAGGCTGGATGTACACAGTTGCCTCATAGAGGTTGGCTGCATTTTGCAGTCAGGGCTAACAGCCAGAAAGACCTACGGCATGAGGGCACGGGAGAAGAGGTGACGGTGGGGCCTACTGCTGAGCTTTATTTCGTTGAGACTGGCTGGGGATATATTTCTGAGAACGGAAAGGTGACCTGGGCGAAGGATTTGCAGAGGAAGCATCTTTGGAAAGATGGCTCCGGAAATCTGTTTGTGCACGAGCCCAAACTCCAGAGTGGCTTCGGGTTCAAGACCAGGTGGCGGTCCGATATGGAGAAGGACCGTTCTCTTATCAATTCGCCCGTGAATTTGGATGTCGAGAATATTGATCATGGCAAGCACCACTGTAATCTTAAATTCCTAAAGACACCCTTCATCAAACTGGTACGACACCACACGAAACTCTCATAAAATTCTTACCAGGCCGTACAAGACCCATGTTCATCCCTGTACACCCCAATGAACCCATCAAATACGCCCTAAACCATCACCCCTAAACCCCGAACCCTAAAACCCTGGAACCCTAAAGCCCTAAAGCTTTAAACCCTAAACCACCTAAAAACCCTAAAAAGCCTTAAATCCCCAAACCCCTAAGCCCAAAAAACCCTAGACCCTGAATCCTAAACCCCCCTTAAAACCCTAAATCCTAAACCCCTTAAAACCCTAAACCCTAAACCCTAAACCCCAAACCCCTAAGAAAAAAAACCAGCCCTAGACCCTAAACCCTAAACCCTAAATCCTAAATCCTAAACCCTAAATCCCCAAACCCGAAGCCCCAAAAAGCTGGAGGTCAGCTACAGTTCGCCTCTCCGGGCTCTCTCCGAAGCTCGGGCTTCCAGCAGGAACTGCTTTCTTTAACTTCCCTTTCTGAAACGGGGCCTAGGGCTTAGGGTTGAGGGTTTGGGGTTTAGGGATTAGGTAAGGCCTTTTGTAAGGAAATCATAATAAGGAACCTTAACTAGGTAGGGCTTTGGGACATTTCATATTTTCCCTTATTGGGCTTAAGAGCTTATTTGCTAATCTTTTTCAAAGGCTTTTACCCGCCTAGTTTCTGAAACGGGGCTTAGGGCTTAGGGCTGAGGGTTTATAGGGTTTAGGGATTCGGGTTCAGGGTTTTGGGTTTAGGGGTTTGGGGCTTAGGTTTGAGTTCTGGAGAGACCCTTAGGGTGCAAGTACTCACCCTAAGGCTCCTAAGAGGGTCTTGTCTTGGGCTTTCTGGGGGAGGGTTTCGGCTTTCGGGGCTAGGGTCCGGGATTTCACTACAAGGGTCCAGGAGCCTTAAGGTATAATTTAAGGGCTTTGGTGCTTTTTTGGTACCAAACACCATAAATAAGGATTACTCGGACCCTTAGGGGGATGGTTTAGGGCGAGGGCGTTAGGGCTTAGGGTTGGGATTGGGCCCTCTGTTTTAGGGGTCCCATGATGAAGATCCTTACGCTTTTCAGTTCTTGTTTAGGATCCCTTTTGTTTCTGGAACTCTCACCTTTTCCTTCAGGGCTTATGATCTGAAGCTTGGGATGTAGGAAAACTCGGGGTCCAATTTGGGTTGAGGATGTTGGGTTCAGAGTGTACCTTGACCTACCAGAACCTACTTTTTGTAGGGTCTCTATAAATTCCATATTAGGGTTTATAATAAGAGCCTACAACAATGTAGGGTTTAGTAGGTCTACAGGGAACTCCAGAAAGTTGGAATATGGTTTCATGGTAGGATACCCTATAATTTACCATAGAAGGGTTAGGATAATCATATTCCAACTTTCTGGCTTCTACCTTAGGTAGAAGTTTAGGGTTTGTGTTTGGGGTTCGGGCTGACGCGGGTTTAGGTTGACCTCCGGGATGGTAAGCTTGGGGCATCGGATTTTGGACTGGGTGGGTGTTTACGGGATTTTATAGGATCCTTAAGGGGGGGTGGTTCAAGGGGGGAGGGTATAATGAATCCTTAGGGGACTGTAAGGGAACCTTAGGGAGTACTAGGGAGAATTAGGGATCACTAGGCTATTTACCCCCCTTGGACCCCCTCGCTTAAGGATACTACAAGGATTCATGTGGGTGGTTGTCAAGATTATGGTTCCTTTTTTTTGGTCCGAAGAATAGTACGGCACCTAGTATCTAGGGCACCCAAAAAGGGACCATAATTTGGACAACTACCCATGTGTGTGGTGTTGCTTGTTTCTTGGGGGTTTAAGGGTCAGTAGTTTCGGCTCAGAGGCTGTCAAGCCTAAACTAAACTCTAAGACTCTAAGCTTTTTGACAGTGTAATGCAGGAACCTGATTAAGAAACCATGGGCCTATAACCCCAAAATAGTAGGATTCATATAAGGAACCCTTATGCAGGCCCAAAATTTTTTAATCAGGTTCCTGCAGTATCGTGATACTGCAGTGACCTACAGCCGAAGCCTTCTGAGGTGGGAGGCCACTGGCAGAGGGTCTGCCACTGGGTTCTGGAGCAACATTCTTGAATGTTTTTTTATTGGACCTGTTCCTTAAGGGAGCCATTAATTCCGAAACCCTAAACCCTAAATCCTAAACCCTTATACCTCTGGTTCCTTAAAGAAGCCATTATGATATGAAAAGTTAGACTTTTATGTCCCTGGTTACTTCAAAGACAAGGCCAGCTTCTGGCAGACCTGCCGAGAGCGCTGGTCGAGGCAAACGTGTTCACCTTCAACGCCGGCCTTGGGAGCAAGCGCAGCGCCTGGCCTGTAGGGGTTTCGGGCTTAGGGTTTAAGGTTCAGGGTTTAAGGTTGAGGGTTTAAGGTTTAGCGTTTAGGGCAAGCGGAGTGGCTGGTTGTGAATCGTAGGGCTCTCACGCTTTCTTGTTGTTGCCGCCGCTGAAGCCTGGCCTTAAACCTTACCTGGACACTAAAAGCCTACCTTTCCAGGGCTCCTTATCCTAATTTCCTTAGAAAGGTCCCTAGGTAGGGCTTTGGGACATTTTATATTTTCCCTTATTGGGCTTAAGAGGATCTTATTTACTAATCTTTTTCAATGGCTTTACAAGCCCCACCTAGGTCTTCAAAACAGGGTTATTTGGGTCAAAGCAAACCCAGAGCCGCTGACCCAAAGGGTCCTATGTACCGATATAGTAGAATGTAGGGTTCCCATATTAGGAATTCCTATTATGACTTAGGGAAGTATCCCCCATAACAGTACAAAGGACCCTTTGGGTGATGATATTTCACCGAAGAAGCACCTGGTTAATCAACGCGCTCAGTACGATACTACTATTTTGGGTTTTTGGCAATCCGAAGATGCTACTATATAGTAGAATGTAGGGTTCTTATACTAGGAGTTACTATCTTATGATTTGGGGAAGTATCCGCCGCAATTGTGCATGACCCTACGGTTTTTGCAGAGCAAAGACTCCGAAGGCAGTGGCTGGTCACGGTCACTTCAGACCCTCTCGGAGATGGCTGGTATGAGTGTCTAGGCGGCAATTTGGGAAACTTTTTAATTTCCCTTGTGGTTCCTATAGAGGTACCTATTCATAAAATATTTTTTCAGAGCCCCAAAACTACAACCCAGGTGTGTGCCCAGATGTCATCAGCGTCAGTGCAGTGGCCAGGTTGCTGTTTGGGGTTTAGGGGTTTAGGGGTTTAGGGTTTAGAGGTTTGGGTTTATGGTTTAGGGTTTTGGGGGTCTCCTTATTAAAGCTGAATGGTAGGAGAAACTTATGGTTTTGGGGTTTGGGGGTCTCCTTATTAAAGCTGAATATGAGGAAAAACTTATGGTTTACTATTTTGGGGGGTCTCGTTGTTAAAGCTGCATATCAGGAAAAAACTTATGGTTTAGGGTTTTGGGGTCTCCTTATTAAAGCTGAATATTAGGAAAAGCTTATGGTTTAGGATTTTGGAGATTTCCTTATTAGAGCTGAATATTAGGAAAAACAGGGTGCCCTTCATTATACAGGAACCCAGGTGGTGAGCGCCAGCCAGACTCAAGGAAGTTGGAAGACAGGGCTGAGACTTTTTGCAGGGATGCGGGCCGCCGGTATTCGAAAAGATTCGATTTGCTTTAATTCGACCATTGCTGCATGCAGCGAAGTGGGCCATTGGAGTACCGCTCAGCTGCTTCTGTCGGGTATGTTCCACACAACCATAGAGACCAACTCCGTGACTTACAATGCTGGGCTTAGCACCTATGAGGGGGGCGAGGCTTGGTATCAAGGGCTTGAGCTCTTTTCGACGATGATGCTGGCGCAGGTCGAAACGCATGCTATTGTCTGCAACTCTTGCATCAGCGCATGTGAGAAGGCGGGCCGCTGGCAGATGGCCCTCCACATCCTTGCGGAAATGCCCGCCATGAAGCTGCAAAGGGACGTAATCAGTTTCAATGCTGCCATCAGTGCCTGTGCCAGAGCCGGACAGTGGCAGAGAGCCCTGCAGGTATTCTCTGACATGTCCCAGGCCCAAATTCTGGCAGACTTGGTTAGCTTCAATGCTGCCATCGCCTCCTGCGCGCGAGATGGGCATTGGGCTCTAGCACTTCAGTTACTGTCGGAGCTGCAAGGAGCCCGTTTTCTGGCAGATGCCATCAGCTACACTGGCAGCCTCATCGCCTGTGAGAAGCGCGGACACTGGCAGGCGAGACGAGCAAAGTGTGAGGACAGTTAAGTCAGCAAGATAAGTTCTTTGAAGACCATCACCATCGCACCATGCCGTCACCGTCATCATTGCAATAAGCACCAGCATCAACAGACTTCCGCTTCATCACCTGCACTGTCAACATATAATCACTGTCGTCGTCGTCGTCCACAACATCTGCATAGCAAAGATGAGAACAAGGAACCAGGACCCTCCTTGTACCCTCAACTAGGGGTATATGCTCCCAATAGTGGGTACTTGAGCTCTAATAGAGGGTAGATGGAGGGTCTGGGAACATAGTAAGCTAGGATGCCCAGTAGTACCCTTATTCCTTTTTTCTAGTCCTAGGTTCCTTATAAAGTTACCCAACACCAAAAAGAGAGGCCTTTTTATTCCTAGGTTACTGGGTATCCTAGGAGGGTAGATGGAGGGTCTAGGAACATAGTAAGCCTGAGTGGAGAAACCGCAGAGCTTGAGCAGGAGCCTCGTGAAAAGCTTACCCTGCGCCCTTTACTTAAACGGTACCTGAACCCTGAATAACCTACCTTTTTAGGGTTCCCTATTATGATTTCCTTAAATAAGGTACCTTAACTCTGAAGAACCTACCTTTTTAAGGACTTTTTTAGGAAATCATAATAGGGAACCCTAAAAAGGTAGGTTCTTCAGGGTTTTGGTAAAGCTTAGGTCCCCACCAACCCCATGCAAACCACCAGCGCTAGATGCCCAAGCCCTAAACCCGTGAACCGTAAATCCTAATTGACCCCTTCTAGAACCCTTAAAGGAACCCTTTACGGAACCCTTGAGGTGGCGGTGCAACTGCTTGCAGAGATGCCTGCGATACCGGTGGAAAGCTTCAATGCTTGCATCAGCGCCTGTGGAGCCGCAGGACGACCCCAAACCTTGAAAGCAGAACCCCTACCTAGACCTACTAAATCCTACACTTTTTTGTAGGTTCTTATCATAACCCCTAAAAAAGGGACCCTACAAAAAAGGTAGGTCCTAGTAGGTTAAGGTAATACCTAAACCCCAAACTTCTAAGCCGTAAGCCCTAGAACTTTGAGCCTGCACTCTCCGAAAGGGTCGTCTTCACAAACATCGCAAGATGGCTGTCGCTTGTGATTCTGTGGATGGACAATATCCTGCATGACCCAATATAAGGAATATGCCAGAATTACCATAGTTTAGGGTCCTTAAGGTCATGCAGGATTTTGTCCATCAGCGGTTGTGATAATTGCCGAGCTGTGGTTTTACTGTTTAGGTTCAAGGGTTTGGGTTTACGGCTTGGGGTTTAGGGTTTAGGGTTCAAGCTTCTTGTCCAGCGCTTCATTAAGTATGGTAGTGGCTGTTTGTCGTTTCTGCCGGTGGGGCTGTTGCTGCTGCTGCTTTTCTCTACCATGGAAGGACGGTGGGAGATTGCCTTGGACTTGTTCTCAGAGATGCAGACTCGTCGCGGTGAAGCTACAGTGGTGACATTCGGTGCTTGCATGACTGCCTGCACCAAAGCCTCGCAGTGGCAGAGGGCTGTCCTGCTGTTGTGGGACATGCCTTCTGCCAGGGTGCAGCCAAACGTCGTGACCCTTGGTGTTGGCATATCGGCCTGTGAGGCAGCCGGGCAGTGGCAACTGGCTCTGAAGCTCTTTGCTGGCATGACGAGAACCGCAGTAGAAGCAAGCACGCCCTCTTTCAATGCTGCACCTGGGTTTGGTTGAGAAACGAACTTCAGATAGTGTTTCCATGCGCAGCAACATCTACCGAGTTATCTATCTATCGATCTATCTGTCTATCTATCTATCTATCTATCTATGTATCTAGTTATCTGTTATAGACATTATGTATATGTATAATTCTGAGTTGTCATTATGTATTATATATATATATATGTAGATGCATCGTGTGTATGTGTACTGTTAGCGTGCATACATACACATGCACAGCAAAAAAACACTCTTACCTACACATGCATGCATCTACAGAAGTATGTATATATTTCACATGCGCACATACACACATGTACACGTACCAAGAACCTAAGGTATTGTCTGCCTGCGAAGATGGCGGGCAGTGGCGCCAGGCCGTATACCTACTTTCGGAAATGCGAAGCGTCACGCTCAAGGCGCACCGCCCTAAACATCCTGCACCCTGAACCCCAAACTCCCAGCGAAGGATCCCCAAAAAGTCCTTATATCGGCCTTGAATCCTAAGCCATAAAAGGTGGACCGAATCAGCTTCAATGCCATCATCAGCGCATGTGGGAAGCGCGGACGATGGCCAATAGCCTTGAAGCTGCTTGCGGAGATGTTGGCTGAAGGACCCGAAACCCCAAGCCCTATAGACCCTAGACCATAGGCCACAGATGTGAAACTGAACCCCTAAATTACAAGCATTAGATGCCAAGTCCAGAACCCCCTGAAGCTCTGATCCCTAGAAGGGCTTGCCCCGGACAGCATCAGCTGCAACGCCGGCATCAGTGCATGTGGACGAGGCGAGCGGCGAGTTTGACTAAACGCGTTTGTGTCCCACCTGAAGTACGGTAAATGGTGGGTTGCGGTAGTACAGGCACTTTGCAGGGGAATACATAGCCACCTATCATGGCTTTCTCCACCTTACTTATAAGCCCGCTTGCATTGAAGCTTCAAGTAAGTGTGCGCCACACACCCCTAGAAAGCCCAGCAAGATTCTACCTATAGTCTCCATTGTAGTTCCTTTTTGGGGTTACCTTGTAGGATCCCCAATATAGAACTGGTTAAACCCAAAAAAGGAACTACAATGGAGACTATAGGTAGTAACCCCCAGGCAATAAGCCCTAGGCCCAAAACAACCTAAGACCCTCTTAAGGCCGTATAGGACCCTAACTCATCGAACTCAAGGCTCAAACAACCCTCGATCCCAGCATCTTGGCGTCCTTCTTAGCTTGGATAGTCCGCGGACGTCTTGCATAAATTCCCTCAAGCCCTTGTAAGTTTGTGGGTTTTGTTTTTTTTTTTGAGGTTTAGGGCCTTAGAGGTTTGGGGCTTTCTGGGCTTTGTGGGCCTGGGGGTTTCGGGACTTCTGAGCGCCTGGGAAAGGTGGAGAATGGCAGCTGGCCTTGGGACTTCTGTATGCCATGCCTGCTGCTGGGCTCGCAGTTTAGGGTTTCGAGTTTAGCGGTTTAGGGTTTAGGGGTTTAGAGTTTAGCGGTTTAGGATTAGGGGTTTAGGTTTTAGGCTTTGGGGCTGCTTGCGGACTGTGATAGAGTTATCGTCGACAGAACATGTTAAGGAATTGTCGAGACAGCTACAGATTGCCAGAAACTTTTTTCGGATAGGATTTTGGACGCATTGTTTTGTGGGTTGTTTCAGTCTTTATTTTAGGGATTCCGGGCAGCCTATCCTTCAATCGAGAAGGGAAAAATATTGCGCTGGCATGTCCCTTCCATGGCCATGTAACTTTGACTGGTAACAAGATCCTGCCAAAACAACCAAACAAACTTGAACCCTAAACCCCTACTAAATCCTGAGCCCTAAACCCGAAACCCCCAAACCCTAATTAAGTTCTAAACCCTAATTCAAGCGCTTTAATTAACCCTGTAAAAGGCCTATGATCCTTAATTCCAAGGGTAAAAGGAGGGACCCCTAATAAGGACCCCTAGGTATGTACCCTTAATATAGCTATGATATACCTGTTATATAGCCCATTATAGGAGGGACCCAGGGTCCCCATTAAGGGTTCCTCCTTGTCCCTTTTGATTAAACTAGACCCTAAACCCTAAACCCTATAGATCCCTTTAAAGGGACCCTTCTAGATCTCTTTAAAGGAACCCTAAGAGCCTAAGGGTCCCTCCTTGTCCCCTTTGACGAATTGAACCCAGGCTTTACGAATTCAGGGGGACGCCGGCTCTTTCCATGCAGCAGTTTGGGCCTGCGTGCTTCGGCAAAGCCCACCTACAGTCTCCATTGTAGTTCCTTCTTTTGGTTAGCCAAAATCTCCATTATAGGTTCCTAACCATAAAACTGGTTAACCAGAAAAAGGAATTACAATGGGGACTGAAGGTCGATATCCCTTTTCAGTTTTAGCGTCTCGAGGGCTTTGGGTTTGTTTCGGCGCAAGGATCCTAATTCTAAAGCCGTAAACCCGAAGCCCTGGACCCCGAAACCTTAAGCCCTAACCCTACATCCTAAGTTCAAGACCTTATAAACCCTAAACACTGAATCCAATCCGAGCCTTCCTCTATAATGTCTTGAAGAGGACGCCATCAGGGCTTTGCAATTGCTACTGTTAGTCTATGTCTCCCTTTTAGTATCATATGGGAGTTTCCGAAAAGTAGGCGTACCTGAATTTGGGGTCCTGAAAATGGGGGACCATTCGGGTACTATGTTAGGGTCCCCTATTTTCGGGAAACTCTCATATCATCACCACCATGGTTGCTAAGGAGCAGGCGGGAGCGTGGAAGCTTGTACCCGTGCTTTTGGCTCAGCTGCCGGCGCAGCAGGTGGGAGTTACCAAAAGGTTGACTACTTAAAGCCTCAACGAAACACTTAAAGGGCCCCCGAGCTTTTGCTTCGGCCTTTAGTAATCATATGCCTTCCTAGATACTCACGTACGAGACCACGTACTATCTTCATCCCAACCTTGTATCTTGTGGACGTCAGGGACACAAACAGACCCTCTTTATCGCGAGGTCTTCATTATCACGACCCCCCCCACCCCCGCCCCCGAGGCCCTAACCCCTATACCTTGTACCCCCAGCGCTGAATCCGAAATCCAACACCTGACCTAACAAAGCCTGAACCCTATAAACCCCACAGAGCCTACCCCCAAACCCGAAATTCCTAAACCCTCGCAATCTGCGTAAAGCCCAGGTTGCCCAGAGTCTGCAGGGGCTTGACGAGTCCTTGGCGGTCGTAACGGAAAAAGAAAGAGGGAGGTTTGGTGTTTAGGGGTTTAGGGTTTCGGGCTTTTGGGATTTACGGTCAGGGTTTCGGGGTCTAGCAGGTCTTTGTATGTGGGGTTTTGCAGGGGGGCTTTACAGGGTGTTCATAGGACGTTTGTGAATCACGGGTCTACAGGAAAAAGCAAATTCATCCCAGAACGGGCTATGTACAGCTCATAGTGCATTCAGACTTCTGGAAACGAAGGTGTAACAAGCACAATGATACGCTGCTTCTACTCATCCTGCTCGCTCGGGCGTATGGTAGCATGCATGAATTGAATACAACTTGCTCCTCTGGGGCCAAGCCTGTCTAAGAAGACTGGGATATCATTCCTGTGAAAGCCCAGAAACCGTTAGAGTCCCATATCCCAATATCCCTTAGATGAGAGTCGCTTGCCGCGGATCATTCTATCAGTATCCCCGAGTAACGCCTGACACGCCAGCACCCCTTGCACGCAACATTCCCGCGCACAGCCACAACCATCCCCCAGCATACAGTAAAACATACGAAAAGCCTGTAGACCTGCACAGAATCATAAACTCATAAACCAAGCAAAGCGCATGTGCAGAACCTTATTATGAAATATACAAGCCCATAAGTTTCCCGTACAGCACTTCATAGAACCCTTGTCTGGAAATAGAAGAACATTCTTTTGAAAGCCCGGGCTTTAGCCAAACCTTAGGCCCCAAACCGTACCCCTTATAAAGACCCTATGAAAGCGTTTATACAGACCGTTGTAGAGCCGTAAGAGAGCCTTGCACAAACCAGCGCCCCTTTTCTTTGCAGCGTAAGTAGTGTTCGAATTCCTATGGTCCTATGGGGTATCTGTTGTATGTTTGCTGACTTCAAGATGTCAGAACTCATTCTTGTAGTGCAGCCCTTCGTAAAGACAGCCGCCTTCCAAAACCCGTAAACCTTGAACCCTAGTTTCCCTTACCCTCAAATTCCTTTCTGAAGCCTTAGGTAAACCCTTCCGAAACCCTTAAAACACCCCCTGAACCCTTCTAAAACCCACCATGAAAAACCTTACCACCTAAAGCCTAAACCCTTAAATCCTAAACCCCTCAACCTTAAATCCTAAGCCCTGAAATCCTAGACCCCTACACCCTAAATCCTAAACCCCAAACCCCTTAAACCCTAAACCCCAAACCCCCCTTAACCGTGAACATCCCTTATGGATCCCTTGAAAGGAACCCCTGTAGATCCATTTAAGGAACCCTTAAACCCCCAAACCCTTAAAATCCTGAACCCTAGAGATGTAGAGATGCTTTAAGGAACCCCTAACGATCCCTTTAGAAGGAACCCTATATCCCCTCTAAACCCTGAAAGTCCTAAACCCTTAAACCTAAACCCTTAAATCCTAAACCCTAAATCCTAAAAAACCCTAAACCCCTTGAAAACTCTGTGCGTGCCAGGACTTTAGCTGGCCGAGGGCCATCGACGACTACGAGCGGCACTTCGACTGGACCATGGCGGCCGGGAGACTCAGAAAGCCGTTTACGGTTTAGGGTTCAAGGTGTTTGGGTTTTAGGGTTTAGGGTATAGGGCTTTGGGGTTTAGGGTTTAGGGTTCAAGGGGTTCGGGGTCTAGGGTTCAGGGCTTAGGGTTGAAAGACGCGGGTATTGGTTTTAAACAGGGGGTTTGGGGGTCTACCCTACACCCTAAACCCTCAAGGGTTTACATAAAATCCTTAATTATGTAGCTCAATATTTAAGAGAGTATATGATTATTATATACTTGGACCCTTAGGGTAAACCCTCAGGGGTTTAGGGGTTTAGGGTGTGATGGGTTTAGGGTTTAGTTTCAACTGGACCATGGCGCAGCTCGGCGTGCGGCGGGCCTTTTGTGTTTGGGGGGGGGGGGTCAGAAAAAGGGTTTACTTGGAGGATCCTGGGACTCAGTAAGTAAGGTTATATTTACCCTAATTGGGGTTATAAGTAGTTATAGCTATAGTTACCCTAATTATAACCCTAGTTACTATGTCCCATGATCCTTTAAGTAGGGTGATTTCCCATGGAGGAAGAGGGTGTTTTTTTTGCTCCAAAGAGGGTTTAGGTGGAGTTTCAGTTTTTGAAAGAGGAAAAGGGTTCAGGGTTGAGGTCTCACAATCAACGGAAAGCAAAGTTTAGGGTTCAAGGCTCGCTGTGCTAAGTGCACGGTTTAGGGTTTAGGGTTTAGGGTTTAAGTGTTTTCTTCAAGGGCCAACGTTTAGGGTTCAAGGTGTTGTTTTGCTTAACTTTTGTTACGGCTTGTTCCGTTGTTTGCTTGTGTTCCCGAACCCTAAACCCTACGCCCCAAACGCTCAATCCCCCTAAACCCCTCCGAAGCCGAAATTCCACCCTTATAGATCCCCCCCATCGTCCCCATGTGACACATTTCTAGTCGCAAGCCCTCCATTCAAGGATCCCTCTAAACCCTTATAGAACCCTTGTAGATCCTGAAATCTCGAAATCTCCTCCATTCGAGCATCGGAGTAAACCCCAAAGTAGCTATATAGGACTACTTCGAGGGAGGGATATCCTGTTTGAGAACATGCAACCTGAGGGAAATTTGAAGCTCCCTTTCCCAACGGGTCCAGCGTACCTATATAGTAGAATGTAGGGTTTCTATATTAGGAAGTACCATTATGATTTGGGAAAGTATTCCCCAGAACAGTACCTAGGACCCTTTGGGTTTGAACCGACCCTAAGCCAGAACTCCTTTCAACCCGAAGGCCTACACCCCTCTAAAACCTCCAAATTCACGTATTATAGATCCCTCCATAGTCCGCATGTAACACATGTCTCCCCTACAGTGGAAAGCCACCCATTCAAACCTGAACCACAAACTCCCCTTCAGCCGACCTAAACCCTCAGCCTCTCTGCCCCTCTAAACCTTCTAAACCCTCTACCCCTCTACTCCTCTACCTCGCTGCCCCTCTACATCTAAGCCTTCTAAACTCATCTACCCCTCTAACCCCTCTAAGCCCGCTAAACCCTACACCCTAAACCCTCTTTCCCCCTCTACCCCTCTGAACCCCGAAACCCCACAACCCCTCTAAACCCCTTAAACCCTAAAACCCTCTAAACCCCAAAAAATCCTAAACCCTCTAAACCCCTCTAAACCCCTGCTAACCCCTCTACCCCTCTAAAACCTCTAAAACTACCTCCAAACCCCTCTACACCCTAAAAACCCTAAACCCCTCTAAACCCTAAAATCCTAAGCCCTCTAAGCCCCAAAATCCTAAACCAAACCCCCCTAACCCCCTCTAAACCCCTCTACACCCTCTAATCCCTAAACCCTTCTACACCCTCTACACCCTAAACCCCTCTACACCCTCTACACCCTTTTGAAACTCTAAACCCCTCTACCCCCTCAACCCCCTCCGTTCAAGACTGCTAGGATCCTCCTTTCTGGGGCCGCAGGCCGGGCTCAGGGCTTCCCAGATCTTCCCAACATGCGCCTTACAGTCCCCTAAGACTAATAGTCTCCTTAGGATTATTTTTTTTTTAATTTTTGTTCGTATAAAGCCCAAGAGAATTTCAAACCTGCCATTTTTCATTATGATGAAAACGGGGCAGAGAAAAAGAGCTCTTTCAAGGGCTTTCTTAAGGCCTCCTTAACACAAAGGCTCCTTTGAGACTAAGGCTTTTGTAAGGGCTCCCTGAAGTTCAAGGCTTCTGTAAGGCGTTTTAGCAGGGCTTCGGAGTTTCGGCCTAAGGGCAAAGGACTGAGACTCGGCCTCGGGTATACAGCTTCGCTTGGCCGAGGGCGGGCTGAGAGTTTAGGGTTGAGGATTTATAGGGTTTAGGGCTCATAGGGTTTATAGGGTTTGTAAGGTCTAGGGTTTAGGGTTTATAGGTTCTATAGGGTTTATAGGGTTTATAGGGTTCATTGGGGTTTATAGGGTTTATAGGGTTTATAGGGGTTATAGGGTTTATAGGGCTTATAGGGTTTATAGGGCTTATATGGTTTATAGGGTTTATAGGGTTTAGGGTTTACAGGGGTTCAGAGTCTTGCAGGCTCTGTGCTGAGTAGGATGTATTTCATGTAGACCCCGGATCAACAAACCACCTCCCTGAATAGGGACTCTGATAGCAATCCTAGTATCTAAAGCTCGCAAAGAAAGTTGGGCTGCTTATCAAGCTTACATTTCCGTGTTTAGGCACAGGAACCTCGATCTGCTTACAAAGCCTTATCCCTGTACCTTCACAGAACCATGTTTGAAGGACACAAAGCTAAATATCCTCGATGTGGCTGCTGGCTTTTTAATCGGCTTAGTAAGTATACAATCCCATAGAACTGTCAACATCCTTCCAAAGCCGTGTAAAACAGGAAGTGCCACCGTGGCACTGGCAGATTTTCCAAAGGGTCAGGATTTTCTGCAGACGTCGCTGCAGAACAGACACAGCATAGGACAGTTTCATATGTTCGCAGATGGCCGTTGCGAGAAGCTACTTAAGTGTTGGTGGACCTGAATGACTAACTAAGGTTGTAGACGAGGTACAGTATGCTTTTAGTTACCTGCCGCCCAAGTAGGTTACTTATGAGCTTGCCTACTACGTCCCACGATCCTCCAAGTGTAAGTGCAAGTTACCGTGATCAGGAGTTGATGACTTGAGTAGGAAGTCGGCGCTCAGCATCCAGAAATCCAGGAAAGCAGTCAGCCCGAATATTTGTATGTGCAGGTGAGTCCAGCTCATATGGGCTGAGAAGAAGTGATCTTTGCAACACCATGTTGTGACAGTTCCCTTTTTCCGCCATTGTTTTCCCTGCGCCGCCCGCAGTCGGAATCGGACAGGATGGGCCGAAAGGAAAAGGCAGCCTTCACGGCCCAAACAGAAAAAACGCCTAATGGGAGTCGGAGCGATTGCTAAGACTCTTCCCTTATAGCCCAATAAAGTTATTACAATGCTATGAACTATACCTCAAGCGCAAAAACTCCCTATAGACCCCCCAGAATTTCAAACCCCTCTAAACCCTCAAATCTCAAACCCTACCTTAAACTACCAAACCCTACTTTTTTGTAGGTTCTTATTATACACCCTAATATGGAGAATATAGGGACCCTACAAAAAGTAGGTTTTGGGAGGTTAAGGTAACCCGAGAACCTAAGCCCTTATAGGAGCCTTGGAGATTCCGTAATTAAAGGAACCCCAGAGAGACCCGAAAGGAGCCCTATACAGGAACCCCCATTTAGGGGTTTAGGGTTTTGGGTTTTAGGGATTAGGGGTTTTAGGGTTTAGGGGCTTAGGGTTTAGGGTTACAGTAAACCCCATAAAGTTGGAAACCGGATTAGGGCCAAATAGTGCTGGGATTCCCTATACATGACTCTTAAGGATGGAGGCTAAGGGGTTTCCAACTTTTGGGCTTCTACTGTAACCCCTGGACCCTAGACCCTAAACCCTAAACCCAAAACCCTAACCGCTAGACCCTACCCTAAGGCTCCATAGTAGATCCTTTTTGGGGTTCATATTTCGAATCCTATAAGGTAATCCCAAAAAGGAACTGCTATGGAGCCTCTGGGTGAACCCTAAACCCTAATCCGAACCCGAAGCCCTAACGTCCACAGCGTGGCAGAAGTCCATTCGTTCGACCGATCGCGGAAATAAAATTCAAGCAGCGAGTGACGGGTTCAAGGCAAATGCTACACTCACTAAATATGTGGGGCCAGCAGACTTAGTTAGAGGGTTCCACGTATCATTGTGTCGGAAATACAGCGGTTCAGGCCCCCATATTTCACCGTGGCTCTTGTCGCAAAGTCCGTGAAACTGTTCCCAAGTGCATGGTGCTGCACTTGTCCCTGCAAGTTCGGAGTCCTTTAAAGATGTAAAGTCTATGGTTCAGGGAGTGTCGTAGGATTCTTAGTTTAGGGTTTAAGGTTTTGGTCCATGTGGTTAAGGTTAGGCGCCATGGTTGAGAGTGTAGGTGTTAAGCTGGTTTGAGGCAGTATACTTTCCTGCAAGAGGGTTGGCTTCACTGGCTTGTGTTGGTATGCGCAGACCAGGGGTCCATGGTGGCCTCTTAGGTTTTTGGGACCCGAGGGGCGGCACTAAGGGTACCTCGTCGTCGAGGAGCACCTGCCTTCCTGCCACCTTGCCCCCTCCATGGGGTGACAGTGCCATCACTCATCACCCTCTTTCTTCCTTCCATCCTTCCTTCCCACTTGGCCGCCTCTTCCCGCGTATGGGTCTCTTCTGCCTCTCGCGTTTGCCTTGGTGGTCGCGCCCCAACTCCTCTCCCCTCCCAGCTGCTCTCCATTCACGCCCCCTCGTCTCCTCGTCTCCTCGCGATCCGCCGCGCTTTTCTCCAGGCTCTGTTCGGTCCTTTCCTCGGCCCCAGTACAGTACCGCTCACCCGTTACTCCGCTGTTTAACCTCTCTTTCACGTTTTGTCTACCTCCTTAAGCACCTGTCGAGCGGCTGTGGCCGGCCTCTTGCCAACTACGCACTCGAATTGCTTTGTGATCGGCGATTTGGCTCTTATTTTCTCATCTAATTAGTGTGCTCACTTTTTTCTTTAACACCTCTGCACATCGATGAGCGATAGGGCCACTGCTTGAGCCGACCCGCAATTCCCACTGACCCCTGCGGATCTCCACTTCTCTTTCATCCCCCCACTTCAGCTCTCCTTCTTGCTGGTCGGGCGACGGTGGCCAGTATTTAGAGCCGGCCCACCCTCTCCACCACTTTTTTGTTTTATTTTTAGCCTGTTTACCCCTTCCCTTCTCTGCCCGTCGTCGTCTTAAGGTTTGTATTCGTTCCCAGTTCTCTCTTGTTTCCCTTGCTCCGCTTCGGTCGGTCGTCTCTTGCCCCCTGCCCGCTTGATCATTTTCTGCCTCCTGCTCGCCTGCCTCAGCCATCAGGTGGCTCGCATCACTTACTCCAGGCCGTGCCTACCGGGCCTGGCGCATGTCACCCGCGCTGTCAGACACAGCTGGGCAGGGCACGTCTTCGGCGAGGCTCTCCACCTGGCTATACATGGTCCCCATATCCGCAGAGGGAACCCACAATTCTCGCAGGTGCGTACTGAGCGGCGCTGCTGCCAGTACCCCGGCTATGGTTCCAGGCTAAGTTCAGAGCGATTATCACACTATTGCCGCTACTGCAGCCAGCACGGCGGAGCTCTCCCGCATTGCAGAATCGGTTTATCGTCCCCGGCACCGATAAGGTGGAGACCGCCATCCGGCACGTCAGCGAGGTGGCTCGCCCCGGTTGCTTGGAGGTGCTCTGCTTAAAGTGGCATTCCGGCTTATGCTTGTGCTCCACAGCTCGGGAGGCTGGCTCCCCTCCTGCTTCTGCCGTCCCTCCAGGTGCTTCTTCTCAGTCGGGTTTCCTGAACGTCACCTTTGCACTTCGTGCTGGCACCTCTGCACTGGCGCTGGTCAGCTCGCTCGTCACGTGGGATCGTATTTCTATTCGCGAAGCACTGGTCACTAGTGCTTTAGCTGGTTAGCTTACAGAGCTTCCAACTGATGTTTGCAAAGCTCGAAAGAACGCTTTTACAACAGGCGTCTTGAGCGCGGATGCTCCTCGATTCCATCACTGCCAGCATCCTTATTCCAGTCTCGGCCGCTTGGGAGTCTCGTCCCAATATCCTACAGATTGCCCGGGCGGTTTGGATGCCTCTGTTCAATGGTCTCGTGCTTGCGCGGGTCAGCGGCCCTCCGCGGCCTCAACCTACTGCTTTCTCGTGGATGTGTTCTTTCAAAATAGCGACGACGGCGCCGAACATGGGGCCTACTGCGAGGAACAGTCGAAGGGAGCTCCTCGACGACCTCTGTGCCGGAAGCACCTGATCCAATTCTTTGTGACACGACATGGTTGACAGGATGAGACCACACAGCAAGCGGGAGCGCTTCCGCGTCCGCCAAGTGTCCCTCGCCTGCGTGGTGCATTGATCACCGTGCGCATCCGAGGGCTCGAGCCGACCTTTCCGTCCAACGGCATTTCTGCACTTAAACCTTTCATTTTCAAGACGAACCAAACCAGGGCTCCCTTCCAGGACCCCCCAATGGCCCTTTATTTGATGTAGAGATTGGATTGGGCTTGTTTAGGCTTCTATATTGTGTTGATTCCATCCGCTGAAGATGTAGAGTTCGGGGTTAGGGTTTAGTATCAACTTGATTCGAAACGCTGGTTCAACGCCAGCGTAGGGGCATCTTAGAACAGGGTTTCGGGCCCTGGTACATTCAGAATATAAGGAACCTTGAGGAATACTGCTGGTTCGCATTCAGGCCCTGATATTCGAGGTCATCACAAGACTTCAGGACGTTCAATGACTCTCGGAACTTAGACTTGGCACACCAGGTGTTTTTCTGAACAAATCCTAAGCTTCCTTGAACATAAGTCCGAAAACCCTAGGCCCTCAACCTTGAGCTCTAATCTTTGAGCCTCCGCTGTTCCGCAAGGGTCCATGTAGCCAAATAGTATATACTTTGGGACAAGTGTACCTATTTAGGGCGTACTTTAAGGCCAGAATATATACTATTTGGGTACATGGACCATTAGGGTAAGGCTTGACACCGGCAGCCTAAGGCATGTCCCCGGCATGAGGATGATCATGCCCATGATCATCCCCCCCCACCCCCCCCAGGCCCGATTGATCATCATGCCCCAGGCCCGATTATAGGTATAGATCCTAGATTCCTAGATGATACTAATTTACTAATATAGTTATATTCAATACAGTAGTTTACTTCGTCTTGAACAGCCTCGCAGACTTCAGGCTCGAGGGTCCGATTATCCTAGTCCTAAACCTCAAACTTCCCACCGAATCCCCCTAACCCGAAGTCCTGAAAACCCTTTAAACTTTAAACTTTCAACAAAGCCTTGAACCCTCCTAACCCTAAAGTTCCTGGCGCTGGCCGCGGTCATCCCCCCCCAGGCCCGACTCGGGCAGGGTTTTGGGACTTGGGGTGGTTTAGGTTATGGGACTTGGGGTGGTTTAGGTTAGGTTAGGGCCAGGGTTTAGCTCGGGCAGGGTTTTGGGACTTGGGGTGATTTAGGCTAGGTTAGGGTTTAGCTCGGGCAGGGTTTTGGGACTTTGGGTGGTTTAGGTTAGGTTAGGGTTTAGCTTGGGCAGGGTTTGGGACTTTGGGTGGTTTAGGTTAGGTTACGGTTAACGGTTAGGGTTTAGCTTGGGCAGGGTTTCGGGACTTTGTGTGGTTTAGGTTGGGTTAGGGTTTAGCTTGGGCAGGGTTTCGGGACTTTGGGGGGTTTAGGTTGGATTAGGGTTTAGCTTGGGCAGGGTTTCGGGACTTTGCGGGTTTGTTTTCGGTGGGGCAGGGTTTTGGGTTTTGGGGATTTGGGGATTTTGGTGGGGTTTCTCAGCCTCGTCATGCAAATGTCACGACCTTCGGGTCGTGGCTGCCGCAGTCTTCGGACTGGGGCGTCACAGCCTTCGGGCTGTGGCTGTCACAGCCTTCGGGCTGTGGCTGTCACGACCCTCGGGTCGTGGCTACCGCAGTCTTTGGACTGCGGTGTCACAGCCTTCGGGCTGTGGCTGTCACAGCCTTTGGGCTGTGGCTACCGCAGTCTTCGGACTGCGGCGTCACAGCCCTGGGCTGTGGCTGTCACAGCCTTCGGGCTGTGGCTGTCACGACCTTCGGGTCGTGGCTACTGCAGTCTTCGGACTGCGGCGTCACAGCTCTCGGGCTGTGGCTGTCACAGCCTTTGGGCTGTGGCTGTCAC